AAGCTCATAAAAGAACAAAGCTAGGAACTTAAACCACCTGGTTTCAAGACTTTCTATAAAAAAAAAAAAAAGTAATCAAACCAGAGTGCTATCGCCATAAGCACAGGTGAATAGGTTGATGGGATAGATTATAAAATTCCAAAGTAGACCCACACTCATGTGGTCAGTTGGTCTTGGTCAAAGGAATCCAGCGGGAAGAAGAAAGTTTTCAACAAATTGTCCTGAAAACTCCCGGGTATCCCTGAGGAGAAATGGACCTCAATTTCTACGCCATGCCATACATGAAAATCTGAGCCGGATCAGAGGTCTGTAAGCGTAAGCACTGAAACTATATGGCTCTTAGAAGAAAATATAAGCTTTGCAGCTTAGAAAACAAAGATTTTGGAGCACCTGGGTGGCTCAGTCGGTGAAGCGTCCAACTTCGGCTCAGGTCATGATCTCACAGTTCATGAGTTCCAGCCCCGCGTCGGGCTCAGTGCTGACAGCTCAGAGCCTGGAGCCTGATTCAGGTTCTGTGTCTCCCTCTCTCTCTGCCCCTCCCCGGCTTGTACTCTATCTGTCTCTCTCTCTCTCTCAAAAATAAACATTAAAAAAAATTCTTTTTAAAAGTTGGAGGCAACCCAAGCGTTCATTGAAAGGTGGATGGAGGACAAGTTGTGGGTTGTTCATACAGTGGCTGGTACTCAGCAATGAACAGGAATGAGCCTCTGTGTGAGCAACACCATGGATGAATCCGCAGAGACGTGACGACGGTGGCGAAGAAGCCAGACGCAAAAGTGATCCTAACACAGGATGCCAAGGATGTCCAGTTCGAGAAAAGGAAAGGCTAGTCTTTGGGGAAGAGTAGTCTGAAGGGTGGTCACGGGGAAAGAGGAGGGGACTGATCAGGAAGAGGAGGAACTTTTTGGGGCAGATGAGAACGTTCTATAAAGGGACGGGTGTGAGTTACACGGCGGTATCCATTTGTCACAGGGTATGGTGAGCGTGCGTCCTGATCTGTGGAAGCCGTAGCAAAAACCCGGTGGAAAACCATTGTGGGGCGTTGCGGCCATGCCTGAAACATGGCAGTGCTCTGTGGACGTGGGGTGTGCCTGGGCGGACGAGTGAGCTCAGGCTTGCAGGAGGTGCCAGGGGAGAGAGGGGCGGAGAAACACGTTTTCCGGGACCTAGCTGCTCAAAGCATCTTCAGGTTCAGCCTGTACAGGAAGCTTCCCCAGCCCTCACCATCCTTTTTCCCCTTAGAACGCTACCTACCGCTCATCTTAGGGCTCATAATGGGGCTGGCGCCTGCTTCACTCCGAGATCCGTAGATCCGCCCTCGTTTTTCTCTGAATGCGCCTCAGTGCCAACTCCAGAACTTGGTATGTCATCAGTCACTCGGTGAAAGAAAGTGTGGTGACCGGTCCACCTGGCCGGGAGGCAGCACAACGCGACGATGGCCTCCAGAAGATCCGGAAGGTCTTGGCAAGGTGCCCGGCGCCATGCACCCTGGCTCACTCGTCTCTGCCACAGAGAGCCTTGGGCTCGTTGGTGAAAGCGAAGAAATTGCGTCTGGAGCTCGGGTTGTGGCTGATCTGAGGTGGGACTGCGCCGAGGTCTTCCCTTCTGAGCGGGTGGCACAGAGAGTCCAGGGGTCCGTTAGGATGTCCCCCTCAAACGTGGGCCGAGGAGGGGGACCCCTGTGCTGACAGCTGGCTGTCCCTGAACCAGGTGACCTCGAGGCCCGTCTCCAGGCCTGTTTTCAGTCTTTGTTATCATTGCATCAGTGCTTAGCATATTTAACTGTCACGGTCCCCCCACCCCCTTCCCCCAGCCCATCAGAGCAGAGCCGAGGTCTGTCTCCAGACGGCATGGATGGCCTCAGCTGCCTTTGAAGTTGTCTAATTTAGCAGCCCGTGAGCTTCCCTGTCTCTGCTCTGTTCCACGCCGTCAGAATTCCCGACAGTGGCTTTGTCACCAGCCTCGCTCTGCTGTGCGACAAACATCTGGGGTGGTGGGCACCCGCCAAAGAGAACCCGGGCAGGCACTTGCCGGGACACCCAGTAACCTGGCGGGCACAGCTGCCCGAGCTGTTTCCTTTGGGGACAGAGTCTGGAGAGGCACGGAAGGTGATTTGTGTCTCCGAGAGCAGCCCTTCCCCGGGCCCACCCAGGGCAACGGGCCTCGGAGTCGGTGGGTTCTCACCCGTGAGTCGCAAGCACCCTTCCCGGCTTTGCTCCCTGCTGCTTCCAAGCAGGGCCTCTGTCACCGTCTGGGCACCGTGCTGCCGCGTGAGGCCTCGGGACAGCCATCCAGACCCACACAGGGGTCGGCAGGGCGGGGCGGGGCGGGGGAGGGGGTGGCGCGGGTGCAGGGAGGCTATGCCTGGGCGAACCCTCCCCTCCCAGCCTGCTGCGGGGCCTCAGGGTGTGTCTGTCATCTGTGAAATGGCCCTGGTGTTCTCTGTCTCCCAGGGTTTGTGAGGTTAAAAAGCATAAATGTTTTTCAAGGGCCTCGCAGGGCTCACCAGGGGGCAGGTGTCTGTTGGTGTAGTTAGTGAGTCTGTTAGCTGGTCTAGCCCCAAGTGACCCGTCCCCGGCCAGCTTCCACTCCTTCCCTGGCGTATGGGCTGCTCGCGGGACCCTCCTCTAGTCCGGAGCTGATTCACGGCCCCCCCGGTCCCCCCAGAGGGAAGCCCAGACGTGTGGGCCTGGTCGTGCTCAGTCTCAGGGGGAGGTACCCGGGTCTTTGGCTCCAGAGGCCTTTCCTGAATACAGGCGCTGCCTCCCTAACTCCCAGCCTGTCCGATGACAGCTAATATTCACAAGCCGGCTTTGAGACCTGGCGAGCCGCCGGGTGTCATTTCTGCTGTCTCTGTACCCCGCCGTTGCCTCTGTCGCCTTGAATTCTGGCCGCCCGGTGCCGTGGGGGAGGAGAGGTGCTTTACCGGATCTCTGTGCCTTCCGGAAGCCAACTTTGCCAGGTGCCGCTCTGAGCCCAGGCTCTGAGTCTCCGGTGTCGGGCACAGGTAGGGATGGAGTGGGCTTCCAGGGCGAGCTGGCCTGTGAACACGGCCTGCCCCGAGGACGGGCCCCACGGCAGCCGACGGAAGGGCCGGTCCGCTCTGGGCCCGGGACGGAGTGACCCCGCCGCACGTGGTTGGACCGGCTCGTTTGCCGATGCGGTGAACACCTACCGCCTACTAGGAAGGGCGACCCGACGGGGTTAAGCGGTTGGGTTTTGTCCAGGGAAGAGACAGGTTCACCCTCAGGCACTTACAAGATAACGGGAGCTCGGGAGGGATGTACTTTGTATGAGAGGAGGGTCCTGGGTCACAGACGGGGCTGGGAATCCCCGAAGACCTCCTGGAGGAGGTGTCCCATGACCTGAGTCTGGGAGGTGGGGGAGGACAGCTTGTTAGAGGGGAATCAGAGCATGGTCGTGCGCTGAAACGAAGCTCGGTTGCATTATAAAGCGAGTTGTGCCTTCCTGGCCCTCGTCCGGGAAGCTGCACCCCAAACTCCGTGTCCGTCTCCACTCGCTCCGCTTCCGCACCCCCTGGTAGGTGCGAGCTCTGCTCCTTGACCCCCGCACCTGGGCTGACCCGGGGAGAGGCCCCAGCGCCGGGCACTCCGGGTGACGAACCACGCGAGAATTCAGGCAGTGACTCGCCCCGGGCCTCCGGCAAGAGTCCCCAGCACTGACCAAAGGGTGGAGGAGTGGGGGTGTGATCACGGTAGGTCCTTCTAGAAGAACGGCAGGCACGGCACGAGGGGATGCTCTCTGTGCTGCCTGGTTCAAACTCCGAGAAACCCTGGGGAGGCCCCCTGCACCGCGTCCCCGGAACCTGCCTTCCACCCGCCTGACCCGCTTCTCTCCTGCGCAGCGAGCATGACCTGGGGGAAGACATCTATGACTGTGTCCCGTGCGAAGATGAGGGCGACGACATCTACGAGGACATCATCAAGGTGGAGGTACAGCAGCCCATGGTAAGCCGTCCGTCGCCCGCAGCCCAGCCCCCTCTCTCAGCGCTCCCAGCTACCGGGGGTCGGGCGGGGGCACTGCGGGAGCCCCAGAGACCTCCCGGCCCCTGCGGGGTTCCTCCCCTTCCTTGGGCCCAGTCCTGCCTCCGGAACGTTCTAGGAGACCGGGGTGTGACCCCACTGCCACTGAGCCCCTCCCCCCCCCCCAAGAG